ACATAATTTTTTTATTTTAATGGGTATTTCATATGCGAGAGTGTATTTTACATTTTATATATATATATATATATATATATATGTTTCATATATTCTTCTATTAATAAAATTATATATCTTTTATATCATGGATTAGATATAAAATATTTTATTAATAAAAAATTAAATTTCTTTCAAATTCAGTGATTTCATTTTTATGTATTCATATCCTTCAGTTCATTTTAAGTGATCTGCATTGGCTGGCTAACTGGCTGACAGTCATGCGTCTGCTGTTGTCTGGATGTTGTCCTGCTCTCACTGATCTCTCATTGTCTCGGCTCGTCTGAGATGTTTTACCCAGAGAAATGCCCAGTCAGGACTTTCAGCTGGCAGCGGGACGCTTACTGGAAACGCCAGGCGCTCGAATGAAAACAGATCCATTATAATTGCATAATGGTTTGTTAAAGGCCAAAGACGTGGCTTGTGTTTCTGAGGCCTGTGTTGACATTGGAGGTTTATTATTTTTGTTTCCATCTCATAACTTTGTAGAATTCATGTCACACATTATTGCAAAATTGAACGTCTGAAAATAGTTTACATTCGCGATGGTTTCGATATTTCATGGTGCCAGTGTCTGAAGGCAAAATTGAATCCTGGTTTTTCTCAGACCTCCCATCGCAACAAGAACAAGAGCTGTAATGAAACGTTTAAACTGAGCAAAGATTACATGTTGCATATTAGTTCTTTTTATATTTCATTTTTATTAGATTCTTTTTTCCTTTAAATTTTTTCTTGGAATTAACTTTTTTTTTTAAGATTAAAAAATATATACATTTAGATATTTTTTTATTATTTCATATTTTATTTTCTAAGTTTGTTGTAAAATTTTTACATTAATTTTTTGTTTGTTTTTCCTAGGTGGTACTTTTCATTTTTTAAGAGGGTTTTATTTAAATGTATTTATTTATTAATTATCTTTTAACTCATTCATTATTTTCTCTTATATATTTAAATTAGTCTGGCATCAGTGCAAAAAAAAAAAGTTTCATATTAAAGCACAAGTGATCAAACAAAAAAACTGGTTTCAAGCAACGGGTAGTTCAGACTGATTTATGAGTGAATAAACCAAACGTAATGTCATTGTAAAATCATTGTGATTGCATTTGTAACGGTTTCTCTCACTTGATGTGTTGATAACAGATCAACAGAGGTCACATGACCACAGAGGCCAAGCGTGCGGCGAAGATGGAGAAGAAGATGAAGATTCTGCTGGGTGGCTATCAGTCACGGTCCATGGGTCTGCTCAAACAGCTCAGTGAACTCTGGGATCAGGTGGAACAGGCCAACATGGAGCTCCACACCTTCCAGGAGCTGAAGAAACAGGAAGACCACGCCATTCCACGCAGACAAGAGGTGAACAAATTTAACTCTATCTGTCTGTCTGTCTGTCTGTCTGTCTAGTTCTCATTTCTAAGTTGCTTTGGATAAAAGTGTCTGCTAAATGATTAAATGTAATATTATAAACTATAATATATAATTGAATGGTTTGTTTTTCGGTTCTAGATGTTTTATTTTGTATAGGTTTTTCATTTCATATGAAAAAGTTACAACGTGCCCCTCAGATGTTAGAATGTGTTCCACCTACAGGGCATGTTGTCACATTTCACTTCCATTTTTTTGAGGGTAAATAAAGAAAAACGTATACACTGTAATGGAACTGGAATCATGGTGGAATTTCATGTAAAGTCCACTTCGCAGGGCACTTGCGGTCGAATAAGACCACGCTTGAATGCTGCCTGAACAAGAGACCTCCTTACTGAAGGGAAAGTGTTGACTGGTGTCACTATCTTGCGAATGCGCCGGCGGATCTCCACCAAATTCGGGGGATCCCTTCAGCTCAAGGAGCCCTCTCGAACGCCACCCTCCGCGCGTCGGTAGCCCCCAGGGATCGCTAGATCGGTTGGCGCCGGAGCGTGAATTTAACCACCAGTAACTCCCGAACCCCGGGGGCTATCCACG